ACAAATGGGGGTACTGGTGCCAGCAAGCTCAGCAGCATTGGCCTTCAATATGTGGTTGGAAGGGCATGCGAAAGCACTGCAAGCCTCATCACAACACGCTGAAGGTGTACTTCCAACAATGGATGCTGCGTTGGACTTCAGGGTGTAGTCGGAGGAGCAGGTGAAGGCACTGCAAGTCAGGTCGCAGCAGGTAGAAATACTGCTCCCCCGAGTCCATAATGCAGAGGACTTCAAGATGTGATCAGCTGGACAGGGATAAATGGAACACGTTGCATCGCAGCAGGATGCTGTGCTGGATCCGTAGAGGGGGCTCGACCCGGCGTCTTTGGCCACATAGCCCGCTCCGCAGTTAAAGCTGCTGCAAAGTGCCTCGTGGAGACTTGAGGGCTCAAAGCAACATGGGTGCTACTATTCTGTTCTGTAATGCTATTCAGCAAGAGGCAGCTGTCAACCTTAACGCTGATCGTTCACAACGGCTCCTTTATGCTCAACATTTACTCAAGAAATGTCACTGCATGGACGATGGATGAAGCCTTGGCTGAGCCTTCCCCAAGCTTGGATTACGGTTTACATCTTTGAGCATACGGCTCCAAGAAGCTCCAAGTGAAAGCTGATAGAAGTAGCCATAAGCAGTGTTGAACTTAATCTGCGACATGCAACGTGCCCAACTCTCACGTAACATGCTTGTAGCAGAATTCGCCTTGTAGCATGCATTAGGTTGCGACCAGTTAGGACATCATGTCGGACAGAGTCTGGTGCAAATGCGCAGCTCTCTTGAAGACACCCGCGCAGGGTGTGAGGGTGTGAGAAAGCCCATGCATCAAAGCAGTCAAGTTCAAACTTTAATGACGACCAGGCCTCGAATCCGCATCTGAGACGGGATATGCCGAGCGCCGCACCAGACCAGCACGAATCGAATCCTGTCAGGGACGAGATTCGAGACAGGCCCACCTAGGTGTGTTGCACTATGAGCTCCGACGGCTCCGTAGTCTGCATCCTGATCCTTGAGCCCGCAATCTGAAATTTTTATTTGACTAGGACTAGGACACTGGCCGAAGCAACGCGCCTACGTAGGCGTTGTTGTTCCAATCAATTCGCTGGCCGACGTTCCAAAGAACGTAAGAGTATCCATGATAAGGAGAAAGCCAAGTTCGACACTGAATGTCAATAGAATCTGTCAAAGTCGCCGTGGCGTACGTGCACAATTTGGCGATGTATCCACCATCCCCAAAGGCTGCCAGCATGCAGATGTTCCGCAGATGATTGTCAAAAAGGCGGTCGTAAAAACCATAATCATCATATTTCAGGCGGCCATAAGAACCACCCCAAAGTGCATGATAACCTCCCAGAAGTTCGAAACCATAATTCCAATCACTGCAAGATCCAGACATCCGATTCGTAACTTGGGCACCTTGCTGTCCGCAAATGCATGGGCAAGATTCTGCTTTGATTTTGAAGATTGAACGCTCATCAGCAGAAGCACCGCAACATTTTGGAGTTCTGCGCCACAATCTTTGCGTCTACCGCCCTTCTTCGCCCTTTGTCGTGTGTCTGCATGCGCGTGCGCGTGCGTGTGTGCACGTGTGTGTGCGCCGCTCGTGATTGCAAAGGATTTCCCAAATGGTGCCGTGTCGTTTGCCAAAAATCAACAGGTGCAGGGCGAGACGCAGCACATCACTTGGCCGTCTTTGACAAAGCTCCAATGATGCGGCCAGGATATGGGATCTGATCAATCCCACGTGCCTGCAAGGGCAACCCCTGAGGTGTCCAAGATTTGAAAAAGGGCAGGCCGTGGTGTCCAGAAATCCAACAATGGGTTTTGGGTTTACAGTGGCTTCAGGTCCTGTAACTTCACCAGGCACTTCGGTCAACATATGCAAGTCTGCTGCCGCGGCCAGTATTTTGTGCCTGTGCACTGATGTCAATGAGCAAGTCTCGATATGATGCAAGGTGGGCTGCGAAGGCAGAATTCGACGATTTGCACCGCCCGCGGGGCTGGGCTGGGCTGGGCTGGGCGCTGGGCTTTACGGGCCGCGCCTTCGAAGCAGGGTCACCCGGGTGTTGGGCAAGTCCGAACTACTCTCCGAGGCACCGCCTCCCCGACCTTTCGGGCTAGGGCGATGGGAGGACCCTGGCTCGCCGCTCGTGAAATCCCGGCACGCGAAGCGGCCGGCCAGGTCAAAGGGCGCTGAGGAACTTTGCAGAAAAAACAACTCGCGTTTTTTTCCAACTTTTTTCCTTTGCGGCTGTCCGGGTGGGCCTTCAGGCAGTGCTGCAAAACGTCCCAGTTCTTGAAGAGGCCGCGGAGACGGCGAGGCAGTACGCCGAGCATTCGCGTCCGAGGACGCCCGAGGGCGTGGCCCCGCCGCCCCTTGATCTCGTCAGCTTCCGCCCGCGGCTCGTCCCGGGCAGCAGCCTTGGAGCCCTCGCGGCGCTCCTGGTGTCTGCGCCATTGCGCGGAGCAGGAGCTGTACTTCTTTTTTCATTGTTGACCAGCAGATAGGGCAACTTACCATGCCCTCCTCCAGCGCTCGCCTCCTTGCTTTTTTTCTTCGAGGACGCCGGGACAAGGCCCTCTCAACCTTCTCCTTCTTTTTCAGCTCCTTTCTCTCCAGACTCGGGTCTGCCTCAGGCTCTTTCTGCTTCGCCTCCGCACACAGCAGGCTTCTCGGCGCCCTCTTTTGCAGGGCCCTTGTCCTGGCCCGCATGGGCCTCCTCCGATTCCGGCTCGTACGAGTCGGAGTCAGAGCCACTGCTGCTCAGTGGCACAATTGCAATCGGCTTAGCCGGCATTTTCTTTGCCTAGGGACTCGGCATGAAAACTTCCACGCAGTCAGCGCTGCCGTCCCTTTTGTTGGCTGCAGCCTCCGGGAGGTCAGCAGCAAAGCCTGCGCCCAGCGGCGCGTGCATGGCGGGGCCTTGGTCGTGGGCCGTGTTCTGGTGGTGGTAGTAGCAGGAGTATAATAGTAGTAGTAGTAGTAGTAGTGGTAGTGGTAGTAGTAGTAGTAGTAGTAGTAATAGTAGTAGTAGAAGAAGAAGAAGAAGGGGGTCGGCAGCCACCTGCGGTCAGGGTTACACATCTATATATATATATAATAGGTATACGCATATATACATATTAAATATTCGAAAATTGAAAAAATTAGGTACCACATATCACTGCTACGTTTGCCTGAACGGCTACCACCAGCTTTGTTGCGCATCCTGCAGCCTCAGTTAGCAGCCCCAGGGCCGCAACCAGAGCTGCAGGGTGCCCACGCCTCCAGGTAGACAACCAATCCGAAGCGCAAGCTGGGAACGGGTTAGCGTTCAAAACGCAGCCCGAAACCCAGGTTAGCACACGGTGGCCGCATCTGGATACGTGGGTTAGCACTTGCTGGCTCTGCCTAGGCTTTGTTACGCTACCTGGCACCGCTACTCACAAACACTGGCGAACGCATCCCTTCTAGCCTTCCGTGGAAAGCCTGCGTCCACTGCGTCGGCTACAAAAGCCGCCCTTCCACTACCCAACCCGAAACGGCTGCGGGCAGTCAGATGAGTCACATGCACAACGAAAGAACAAACACAAAGTCTTGCAAGCACTGGGAGACAACAGTTTTAAATCAGTATAGAAATACACGATCGAAAAAGGGAAACCTTTCACTCTAAGTCTAACTCTCACATTTTCTCAAGAAGAAATCCGGAGCATCATAGCATTCAACTGCTCTGTGCTTGGCTTGTCAGCTTTGTGTTCAGCAGCTCTGCGGTGATGCGCTGCTCTCATTTGCCAAGCGAGCAAAAAGGCAGCGGTCCGTCTGCGGCTGCCATGATGGCGTACAAATGTGTACAAACGACAATCGCTGTGCTTCTCGCAAGCGATGAATCCTCTAGGTTGCCCGCTGTGGTGTGTGAAATTATCAAAAATGCACAACCTGTGCCCTACCCCCTCCCAAATCAATTTCAAGAGGAGCCACACGTCTCGGCCGACTAGCCATGCTTGGCTGCGGCTCCTCTGCATGCATGAGCTTTTCAGGCAGCTGTTGCAGCAGCTCTTCTTGCTCCTCATCATCAGCTTCTGCGTCAACCTCAAGACCTGCACCCGCATCCCTTGGCCCGGGTCGGCCAGCAGGTCTTTCTTAGTCAGCGCGAATCGAGCCGTGATGTCCTGGGCAGAAGCATCCTTCAAGCTGCTCAGGTCGTCTTCGTCTAGCAAAAACTCGTAGTAACGCAGGGGGCCTTTCAGGTAAATGCGCTCGAGGTTGCCTGGCTTTTGGCAGATGAGGTTGCTCAGAAGCAAGGCTCTGAGGAACAGGACAGCGCAAACTAGAACGTCATCTGGAAGATATTTCTCTCCCCGCTTGAGATGCCATTCTTGTTCACGCAACCCCGGCTTCCTGCCCAAGACAAACAAGTACACTAGCCCTATCGAGACACACTTACAGCGCTACAGCAAAGACGCTCCCGCTCTTTTTGCTTTCGAGATGGCAGAGTGTAGCCGGAGAGGACCTCCTGCCACCAGACAGGCTCCTCTCCCCCTGGTGAGAACTACGTTCACCCCATTAAGGAAACTACTGGCACCAGCCAGTCTTTCTGTCGGGGTAGGGAGGGTGGGCACTTCAAAATTGCNNCTTGAGCTTTCATGTCGTGTCATGTAAAAACATGTCGAACACAAACATGAAAACTCTCAAACTCCCATGTGCATGAAATCCACATGTAAATAAAATTTCATTTCTTTCGTTCCTTACGAACGATCGTTCGCACCTACGGCACTCACCATGGAACTAAGGGGCTAGCATACACTGTCGTAATTCGTGCCTCATCACGAGTGCGTACACTAGAGCCCTTTCGAGACACACTTACAGTGCTACAGCAAAGACGCTCCCGCTCT